AAAAATTCACTCTTTGTCCCACCCCCTGAGAGGAAGGGGATGGGTGTCCCTGGGGCCTGCAAGGAGCCGGAGTGCCCCACCCCCTCTCCACATGGCTACTGACCTACCAGCAAGGGGGAGGAGAACCTGCCATGTCTGCTGTGTGTGGGGGGTCTTCTCCCACAACCCAACGGCTCACTGGCTCTGCACCTGGGCCCAGCTACACGGTGAGGAGCAGCCTGTGCACTGGGGCTGGCAGGGGGCAGGTCAGTCCCAAGTCACCTGCCCAGGGCCGAGGACGTCCATTCTGGGGGGAAGGGAGAAGAGCGGATGCTCCTCCCTGTGTTCGGGCCCAGCAGGGCTCAACGGTGGGGTTCTATGGCCGCTCCCCTCCAGCGTGTAGTGCACCATCATCAACACAAGCCCTGGCCTGGCTTTCTAGCTGGCTGCTGGCCCTGGAGCAACCGTGCAAGGCTAGCACCTGCCCCCTATCACCACAGGGGAGGGAAGGGGTGGGCCACAGCTGGGACCTGTGGTCGGAGCCCAAAGGAGCTTGCACCAAAGCTCTGGCAAGACCCTGGAAAGGAGACCCCCCCACCATAGCCCCACGCCGAGCAACAAACTGCCTGGGGAAGGGAGTGGGAGAGTGCCCACTGCTGAGCCCTCACCCTGCTCCCTTTGGGGCCAGCACTGACTGCCGGGGAGAGCGCCCCCTACTGAGACTCTGCCCTGCTCCAGGGGATAATGGAGCATGAGCTAGTCTCCTCTACCAGGCCCTGGCTTCCCAAGGGCTGACAGCTGAGCTCCCTGGTGGCTGGTCAATGTGTCCCCTTCTTGGGGGTGGAAGGTCTCTGGACATGGCTGGGCTGTGTCCCTGTCTCATCCCCTCGCCGAGGGCTACGTGCTGGCAGACCATGGCTGTCCCCAAGAGCTGTGCACAGGGCCCTAGGCCATGACTCCTTCTCCTCCTCTCCCCTCCCGTGCTGTGTGTGTGTGGCCATTCCCCAGAGCTGGGCGCAGGGTCCTGGGCCGAGTCCAGGGCACTGGCTGACTGGGACTGGGTGAACCCAGGCCTCACCAGCAGCTGGTAGAACACCCCAGGCAGGATGCGGAAGCCGAGGCGTTGCAGGGAGTGCAGCGAAGGCTCGTTGTGGGGGAGCACCCCGGTGTATACAGGGAAGCCGCGGGCATGCAACTGTGCCGACAGCATCCCCACCACGGACCTCAGGTAGTGCTGGCCGCGATGCTCCGGGAGGGTGTAACCGTGCGTCAGGGCAGCCGGTGGGTCGGTGAGGGACCAGGAGATGGGGGTCCCCTCAGGGCCCAGCACACAGGCGTTGGGGAAGTGGCGGATCAGGAGGCACAGGTACCGCAGGCTCCAGTTGTTCCCCCCAAACTTCCAGGTGTCGTTGAGCAGCGTGGCGTGGGCGGGGGACACGGGGGCCAGCCTGAGCCCCTTGTCAGGCCTGCAAGACAGGGCAGGGGGGA